CAAAAAGATGAACGCGTAAAAACATAGAAGCCTCAACAAGTTAAACAAAGTCACCTACTCAGAGCTTTCGTAACAAACTAAAGTAGCCCTCTCTCAGTGTCTTGATATTTTCTATAAATTTCAATTTGTGTTTTTGTCTCCAAGAGCTAAATATTCTTAGAAGAAAAAAAAAGAAGACGTTCTTTTTGGAGAAAATACAAAAAATGGAAGATAACTTTAGCGTAGAAATTCCTGAAGGTGTACAAGGCAAGATTTTGTCATGGATGCCTCCAAAATCTTTGATGAGATTCATGTGCGTCTCAAAGAAATGGGCATCTATGATTCGCGAGAAGAAATTTGAAGAATCTTACTTGGTCCAATCGAAGACAAGGCCTCGAGTATTGTTCGCATTCCGTCAAAAATTACTTGACCCAAACCGAGAAATTTTATTTCACTCAGTTTACCAAGACGAGGAACTATTATTGTCGTCTGGTCAACAACACATGCGTCTTTCTGATAGACCAGTAAATACGATTTCTGCACCTATAAGAGGTTTGATATGTCTTCAAAAAGAATCTAAGGTCGTGATTTACAATCCGGGTACGAGAAAGTTTCGGACTTTACCGGAAATTCGAGATGCTAAATTCTCTGGAAGTTTTCTTGGATACGATGAAGTTACGAAAGTATATAAGGTGTTATGTATAGCTTTGATATCTGGGGAAAAGCAAGCTGTCATTATGAGATTAGGTGAAGAATCTTGGAGACCGATCGTATGCAAGCATGATCATTCTGTAATAACTAATGGAGTATGGAAAGGAGAAGTTTTGTACTATGGAGCTTGGTCCATTAGTGGTGAATCTATGGTAATGAGCTTTAACGTAAGATCTGAAGAGTTAACTGCTATTGATTTCCCTGAGGGAGTCAATTTTCCGCTTCATGCTAAATTGGTGAACTATAACGGGAATATTGCCTTAGTGAAAAACTCGGTGGTTACAAAAGAAGTAATTAAGATTCGGGTTAGGAATGAAATTTCAGGAGAATGGTCTAAAAAAGGCACTGAGATTCCTAGTTGGAGAGAAATTTTCGAGGGTATAAAGTTTTCTTTCGAAGGTATCATTGGAACAGGAGAACTTGTTTTCACACAACTAGGGTTGCTTGATGATGGATCATTCTTTGTGGTGTATTACAATGAAGACACAAAAGAATTCAAAAAGTTTAAGATCGATGGAGGCGTTGGAGGTTCATATCACTTTGCTCGGACCTTCTTGAATCATGTTGATAGTCTTTCGCTTCCGTGAGGGACAAACAATAGTTCGCTGGTCCAATAAATTATCATAAACTGGTTGGTTGATTTTTCAGTCTCTCAAATAATAATATAGAAGTCTCATTGGGATTGTTTGTGTCGTTCAGTCTCTCAAGTAGTACTGGTCTTGTTGGGTTTGTTCGTTCGTCATTTCTACATATTGTCGTTAATTAATCTTTGTTTATGGTAAAGTCAATTGCAAGATTTTATAAAAGTCTAAACACACACAAAGCATATATAATTATTGTTTTTTCGCAAATTAATGCTCTTTATTCACTTCTCCATCCCCATCCTCATCTACTTTTTCAAACGCTTTCCCGTCTAGACAACTGTAGATTCTTATTTAGTTTTTTTTTGGGTTTCAACTTATAAAACTCCCAAAATTTAAAAACAAGATTAACAAAAAAAAGACAATACATTCCAGAAATGCATGAAGTACTAGTCCCCATGAGGCACAAAAAACACAAAAAGAAAGAAGCAATCACGAGTAACAGGCTTAGGGACAGTAACAGGAAGTATTATCATACGAGACATCATCTCGTCGCATTACACGGAGCAGGCTGGTGAGTTCAGTTTTTCAAGTTTGGACGAAAATTCGGTTACTTCTTCCTTTCCCTGCTTATGCTTCTGAATAGGTGGGACTTCTTATGCTTCTGAATGAGGAAAAGATCAAGGCTAAAGCACAAGAGCTCGATCATACCTCCAACAGCTGCAACATCCACTATCCTCTCAGTGGTTCTCTTGTAAGCCATAACGACTTGAGTTCGTTCTTGGACTTCTACAAGACATATTGAGGAAAAACCAGTATCAGATCAACGGAAAAAACAAAACAAATTTGAAGAGAAATGACTCGTTATTGATGCAAACCGCAAATAGTGACTCCCTCCCCGTAGTTCTCTTGGACCGATCTAGCTTGAAACACTTCCGACCTAGCTTAAACCAGTGTGACATCCTCGAGCTAAGAATCAGATCCAATCTTCGATTGATTGCAATTAGGGTTTTCGCCGACTAGTTGCAATTAGGGTTTTCGCCGTTATATATCGGCCATCTATTTACACTTAATCAAGGTCCAGGTACTCTTAACAAGGGCCCATACCCAGTTACAATTAACAAAGGCCAGCATTTATTTTTTTCAAATAAAGCTA